ATCTTCATCCTATGACAACAAAGTCACGTGTGTGGGAATAGACACCTTGTGGATTTTGACCCTACCTAAGCAATGACAGACAGGATACTGGTACTCAATTTTATCAATAATAGGATACTTACTCCGTATTGGATTCGAGTCCACAAGGCGTCAAAAAAATGGCCTTTGGTCCACAGAAAGTACATAAAATAAAACAAGTGGGTCAAGGCATAAGTAAGATATGATTAGAATTGTCATCATTTGTTTCAGAACATAGTGTACTACAGCTGACGAAGCACTAATGAGATGCACTTGGGACCATCTAGATAAATATCTAGCATGCATTTATGCCCTGCAAGCGCTGTTATGGTGTCTAGGAAGTAATCCAAGGGTTCTCCTTAATCAAGTCTTGCATAAAACTACAGTGGCTTATTTTTTTCAAGGGAGCCTGACGAGTTTGGTCTCCTTACAATAATGTATCGCCCAGTCCTGTTGCATACTGGTAGCTTTTATTACCTACTTCCGGAGTACTGGCTCTCAGAACAATGGTTCCTTGGATTCTCTGTCACTTAGTTTGGTCTGATCATGAATTATTTGATGAAGCAAAAAGATCCAAGACCACCATCAGTGCTCAGTGCGCACCTTCTGCCTGAGATTTTCATCCATAATTACTCCGAACTCCACTACTGAGAACTAGTGAGGTTCAATTGTCAAAATAAATTGCTCCCCTCCCTCCTGTCAGTTCCGCAAACTGAGGGTGGTGGTCCTTGGTCACACGCTCTTTTCATGAAAGGAGGAGGTTTTTACATTGGACTCTCTTCTCGTTTACAATTCGTCTTGGCTTTTCCTTCATTCCAATCCAGAGAAACAGCATTGCTGCGCGTGGAGAGTCGACGGTCAGTCCTCGCATAGTCAGTCCGATCGCGCTCTGGGTCTCGGTAGTCCTGTTGCGACAGATCGCCAAAAGTGTCTATCCGCTGACAATAATTTATCTTTTCCTAATGCAGGATTTGCGCACCCTCCACTACTTTGCATGGTCGGGTGGATTACATTCTTTTCATGCCCCTTGCTGAAACCTTGTGTGTCTGTAACTCGGTATCTCCGCATCATTCTTCCCGCCGTTCAAGGGCGCTTTCCATCATCCTCAGGTCTGGTCCACACCCCTCCTCTTAAATCTCCCTTTTGCTCTTGAAACATGCTGGACTGACTGGTTTTATGGATGGTATAAAGTCTTCACAAAAAGCAATATTGCGGCGTCGCCGTGAATCTGTCATCGCGTACGCCCGGAGACCAAGACAACAGCAAGCCTGGCGCCGAAGCATTCCTTAACCGATAAGAGCTCTTACTGATCATGGCGTACCCCCCACCTCAATCGCAGAGGCCTCCTCCGGTCAGAAACTACGGCCCTCGTCCTACACCACGAGGTCCCCCGGCTCCAAGTCAGATACAAGACGGGTCTTATGACCAGGGATACAGCGACTACAACTACGGATCTCCTGGTGACCGAGGTTACGACAACGCCGGGTACGGTTACCCTGACGATCGAGCTGTTCCTAGATCTCATGGAGCCCCGCGCGGCCCTCCGCGACCCCCTCGTGGAGGTTATGGTTCTCCCGTAGAGCAGCCCCATGATCGAAGCTATGCATATAATGGACGACCACCACCCGGCTCCGATAGTCGTCGCGGCTACGGAGACAGGAGACCACCTCCAAGACAGGACCGGACGAGACCGTGTAAGTCAATGCGATAGGTGCACAACCGACTTCCCTGAGCAAGTATTGATCGAGGCCTAGCTGGACGTCCATCCGCACCGGAGCAGGAGAGAATGGCATGGGATAACCCGTTTCCCACCTTTCCAGCGCAAGACACGCGCGGCGCCGCCGGCACCAGAGGTATTGAAAACGGTATGGCGGCAATGAAGCTCAATGGCCAAGTGCCATCTGGGAACGTCCCCGATCGCCCGCACACGTCAAACAGTAGACGCGATATTCCCCGGCAAGCTGGTTCTACATCGCCTGGTCAAGGGAGGGGAGTCTATCCTGGTGGTCCTATGAGGTCGGTCAGCGCAGGACGCTCCGGACGGCGACCTTCGGATGCCTATGAGCGGTCCTACACTACCGCTAGTGAGCCGCCACCGATGCCTTACATTAACAGAAGTGCTACGATGCCCGTTTCTTCGGCAACACCCACTTCCCCTGTTGCCAAACCCTCATATCCTGGGCAGCCCACCTATCAGGACCCTAACACATCGAATGATTACAGCGATACCGATGAAGTGCTAAGCTACTACAGAACAGCTCATGCAGATGAGCCCGACATGCCTAATTTTGATGCTATCCCTGATGGAGGCAAGGTCATCGACGAGAATCTGCCGGGGCTAGAACAGCCGAAGCCGAAAGTGAGAGCACCTGCTGAACCTGCCGCTTCTTCCCAAGGCCAGTATGCGGCATTCAGCCCGCACTCAGGTAGCGCCGATCAGCACGCTCAGTCACAACACAACATTCCTGGAGTCAGTACACCGAACCAGTTTGATAATGCAGGATTCCACTTCGACCTACCCGGTAACGCACCATCCGCTTCTCCTATCCGAACTCGAGGCAGTATGGACCAGGGCTACAATGGGCAGCCGGATTCTTATGGGGATCCAATGCATAATCAATATCTGCAACGACAGGGAAGTCAAGGGCCTGCTGTTCCAGCCTATGGAAATGGACCTCCTCGACCGTACAGGGTGAATCAGCCTGGATTTGCGAACGAGCAACCACAAATGGTCAATGAGATGGATGAATTTGATTTGCAACAAAATCCGGACGCCCTGCCCCATCACCCGGCGCCTTTCCGTCCAGGTCACGACCAGGGGAGCAAGCCTCCCCCTGTGCGACAGTACGACAATAGTAACACTCCAACATCTCCAACCTCCACGGCCCCGCAGCCCCCGCCTACCGCTCAGCCGGACTCCGCGCCTGCGCCTGTCACTCACGAAGAGCTTGAGCGCTTGCAGCAACTGGTGCGGAGCAAAACTGCCGATCAGAAAACTCAACTTCTATTGGCACAGAAATTGGTTGAGGCCTCAACGGTCCTCGTCGAAAATAGCCGGATGGATGCAAAAACAAAGGCTAGAGCTAGAGAAAAATATATCATGGATGCGCACAAGATCGTCAAAAAGTTGGTATCCAGTGGGTATGCAGATGCTCAGTTCTACCTTGCAGATTGTTACGGCCAGGGTTTATTGGGCTTACAGGTAGACACGAAGGAAGCTTTCAACCTATATCATTCCGCAGCAAAGCAAGGGCACGCGCAATCCGCTTATCGGGTTGCCGTGTGCTGCGAGATTGGTCAAGAAGAAGGAGGCGGAACGAAGCGAGATCCCTTCAAGGCAGTGCAATGGTACAAGCGCGCTGCTTCCTTGGGAGATACTCCAGCTATGTACAAGATGGGAATGATTCTCGTTAAGGGCCTCCTAGGCCAAGCCCGAAACCCACGTGAGGGTGTCTCATGGCTCAAACGTGCGGCAGAGCGTGCTGACCCAGAAAATCCACACGCTCTTCATGAGCTTGCCCTCATGTACGCAAATGCAACTGACAATGACGTCGTCATTCGTGACGAAGCGTATGCCTGTCAACTGTTCCATCAGGCTGCAGAGCTGGGTTACAAGTTCTCCCAATTCCGACTTGGTACCGCCTATGAGTACGGCCTGATGGGTTGTCCGGTGGACCCTCGACAGAGTATTTTCTGGTACACGCACGCTGCAGCACAAGGGGAGCACCAGAGTGAGCTTGCCCTGAGCGGGTGGTATTTGACGGGTTCGGAGGGGATACTTCAGCAAAGTGACACTGAGGCCTACCTTTGGGCGCGCAAGGCAGCCACCGCGGGTCTTGCCAAGGCAGAATATGCGATGGGTTATTTCACCGAAGTTGGCATTGGAGTCGCCGCCAATCTGGATGATGCCAAAAGATGGTATTGGCGAGCAGCTGGTGAGTTCTTTCCTGTCTTCTCTCTGTGTTCTCTGTGGATCAAGCTAATGTGTTTGCTTCAACCAACCAGCTCAAGGTTTTCCCAAGGCTCGGGAGCGTCTCGAAGAAATCAAGAAGGGTGGGGCTCGCATGCAAAAGACCCGTCTCTCCCGCTCCGCTGTCAATCGGCAACAGAACGAGGGCGATTGCGTCCTCATGTGAACTCGGATTCATTCTTCATGTATTTCACGCAGTTGGTATCCTCGTGCACCTGGGCTTTTCTTGTTGTTATTCTTATGGCGTTGCTTTCCTTCTTCGTCGGCTAGATTTCATGTTTTGCCTGCATTTGACGCATATACCCCCTAATGACATTACCAACTTCGCATGTTGACACAATGTATAATCTTGGAAAGTTGCCATTTGGGAGACGAATGCTCTGCTCCTTGTACGTTTGGTTTGCTGTCTCCGTCCCACTTGACCGTGATCTGCCGAAGGTGTGATGGGCTATGTTTTATCGTCACGCTCTGCTGTATCCTTTGGTGCCGCAAAAAATGAAGAAGAATCAAGAGTCTCAACTATTTGACCATGTCGCATAGAGTGGATTATGATGCCATGACCACTATCTGATGTCCTGACGGGTGGACCAGATCCATTTCTCCGGCAGGTGTCTGGCTTATGTATGAAAAGATTGAAATGGTGTTCCCCACAGCTGACACATGCAGAATATCCGTCTGACATTGCATAATTTGTATAGACATGAACACACCCTGATAGGACCGAACTGGTCATGGTCGACAGAAAAAGCACGGAGCGGGCTGATTCCGCACTTTTGCTGACACATCGGAACGAATGGGACCATTTGCTTAGTATTGATTACAATTCCTTCGAGATAGAAGTTGAAGACGAATCTTTCCATGATAAATTAATGCTTAGATATTCTCAAATATTTTGTCCTGTAACTTGCTAATACCACGTCTTGAGCTATTGTGTGCTCTTGTATAAATTCTCGTCTAGACACCGCAACCCCCGGCTGACAGCTTTCCTGTCCTCTTTATCCGATAGACATATATGTCTTCATCTGCCGATACTGCCTTACCGAACACAAGCGACCAAAACACCAGTAGGAAATTCGCGATTCTCTCGCTCACCTGCCTGTTAGTGGCGATACTCCTCGCTGCGTTCGGCTACACCGGGCTCAGCGCCGAAAATACCACCGCCAATCTGTTCGGGCTTAGACGACTCTTCGGAACGCAGTCGGCTGCTGTGGTGAAAAGAGAGGTCTCGACAAGCTCGGTATTGCAGTCCACGACTGCGAGTCAGAAGTCCGGCAACACGATGAGAACTCCAGTATACTTCTTGAGTCATGGGGGTGTGAGTCTTTTTTTTTTCTGTTCAGCGTAGGCTGAGGGATGATGCGATTGACTGGATGCTACAGCCAAACATCATGTATGACCAAGACCACCCAGCGTACCGTAAATTAGGTGAGATCGGACGCGAGATCACCACAAAAGTCAAGCCGCGTGCTGTGGTGGTCTTCTCTGCGCATTGGCAGGCTGGTCGCGACACGATCCAGGTGAATACCGCGGAGATGACGGATCTGGTATATGAGTATGTGACATCATGACATCGTGCTCGGTTATGCATGCTGAGTGGGCTGTGCTAGTTTCTACGGCTTCCCGAGCCACTATTACAAGGAGAAATATCCTAACGTCGGGAGCAAAGAAGTTGCGAACAAGGTGCTTGATGCGTTGAAGGAGGCGGGCATCAAAGCAGAGGGAGTAAAGAGAGGTTTAGATCATGGTGTTTGGGTCAGCTTCAAGTGTGGTAAGTGTCTCGAGATGTCCCTTGCGGTGGATTGGTAAGCCGATAGTAATGCATGGGACGCAGCTTTTGAACCCGACTCCAACCCCTTGAACGTCCCGGTAGTGCAGGTGTCCTTGTTCAACACCGAGGATCCTGCCCAGCACTACCGACTCGGACAAGCGGTGTCCAAGCTCCGCGATGAGAATATCCTGATCATTGTATCGGGCATGGCAGTCCACAACCTGCGCGACCTGCAGTTCTCTTGGGGTAACCCCAAGCCGTTGCCGTACACTACTAGCTTTGACGAGGCTCTGAAGGACGCTGTCACGAAGCCGCCGGCGGAAAGAGAACAGGCGATGATTGAGCTCCTGAAGCGGCCCGATGCCCGTCAAGCACATCCATACTTCGATCATCTGCTGCCCATTCATATCGGAGCTGGCGCTGCGGGAGATGATCTTGGAAAGAGGCTCTGGACGCTGAAGGAAGGGAGTATGAGCTGGGCGCAGTATAGATTTGGTGATGTAGGCAACAATAGCTCACTGTAGTAAGCATAAGTGAAGATGATAGAAATTCCCACCGCAATTGCGTCCTCTTGAACGTGGTCGAAGCATTTTGGATTCATCTATAGATACAGTATTGGACAGCTGGAAGAAAACAGTGCATGAACATATAAGACGGCGTGACAACTGCACTACGAAGACTCCTTGACCAGCTGAGAGACTTTCTCTTCAATCTGCTGATCCGAAAGGCCTAAATGCATCCATAGATGTCAGTCAAAGTACTTGTAAAGCAGGACATTACCAAGACGTACCGGACAGCGATTCCTGCTTCTCTTTTCCAAACCCTGTTTGTAATGGCTGTGTTAGCTCCAAATTCTCTTTCCATTGACTTCTTCAACTGTGATATCTGCCGTACCGTATCGAGCATATACTCTGGGCAAAGTGCCCACTGCCTCCCGGATCAGAATGGGAGTCTGGGGGTTGTGTTTCTTCATGGTCGGGTACGCGCGCTGCAGGAACGACCTGCGATTCGGGAAGTCATAAAGTCAGTAATCGCCATCAGTATCAGCCACCGCGGTTGCCAGAGTTTTACCGTGTAGCAGCGCTCTGCTCCGAAGTCTGGCAGAAAAGGAAGCGGAGCTCCTTCAGCCCTTTAGAGAAGGCGTATTTGGACGACATTATGCAAGAGAATGGACAATTTAAATGGACGAGAGCGTATGTTTTCAGGAAGAGTCTATCCCCCCGTAAGCGAGAGCAATGGGTATCAATTGGGGATATTGAGCGCAAGAGAACCGACGAGGGGTGTTGCAGCACTTTGGATGATGATTCCGCTGGAGTTCGAATGTAAACCAATACGGTCAAGCGTAATGTCACCGCTTACCTCAGCCGGAAACCGAGCCGCATTCCCAATGAGGCCGCCGAGGTCGGGGATATCTGATGCTCATATCATCGTCCGGAACACCTTGCGTGCTTAGTTTCTTATCCTTCTTTAGACTATTTTCACTCATACTTTGATGTGGTTCTTGATAGTTCTTTGTGCATCAACTTGTGCGAGAACTTCCTCACTCTCCACTCAATTCCGACTACCGGTCCCTCCCTCGATCAAGACCCTTCAAACCTAGTCACCATTTCCGCCGTGACAACACACCAAAATGTCTTCTTCGCGTGTCGGTCTGCGCTTTTTCCAGAACACCCGGGCTGCTTTCCGCAACGCCTATGGTCCCTTCCGTCGGCCTGGTGCCCAGGGACGCCGTTTCCAGACCTCTGATGCCGGTGCGGCATCCGCCGAAAAGCAGAGCACTTTTCAGCGTCTATGGAACAGCCCTGTCGGCATCAAGACCGTTCATTTCTGGTAGGTTTTCACATATAGTGGAATAATTGATTCATGACATGCTCGCTTTTTGTCGATCAAGATGCTGACGTGAGATGATTTAATCGGGTAGGGCCCCTGTCATGAAGGTATAGATCCGTGAACACTACTTCTTTCCATCGCAGTCATTACCCTTACTACGCACTTGAGATACCTAGTAGCGTAGAGATTGCCGGATACTGGAATGGAAATATCGCTGACACCATTTTCGTCGAGAACAGTGGGCTTTGGTCATTGCGGGTATCTCCGATTTTGGTCGTCCCGCTGAGAAGCTCTCCCTTACTCAGAACGCTGCCCTGATGGCCACTGGTGCTATCTGGACTCGCTGGTGCCTTATCATCAAGCCCCGCAACATTCTGTAAGTTCTGGTCATTGTTACAAATATCCCTGGAATTTGAGTGTACTAACCCGTCAATCAGGCTTGCTGCTGTTAACTTCTTCCTCGGATGTGTCGGTGTCGTCCAGGTCACTCGGATCTTCATGTACCGCCGCAGCTTGGAAGGAGGATCGACGAAGGAGGCCTTAAAGGATATGGAGCACGAAGTGGTTGGCTCGGCAAAGTCCGTCGTTGCTAAGCCTGAGGCGGCTGTCGAGAAATCTACATAATGACTTCAGGTTAAATTGGGCGAATAATTGCAGCCTACAGGGGCATTCTACGAGGCTCGGAGACCGCAAGACGTCCCTTTTTACTACAAGCAAAAGCGGCGCACACTACTGTATATATCCATCTTTGTTAAATTGGCTAATAAAAGATGCGCCTTGGCTTGCGCATTGGACAATCAGTTGTACAGGTCTGATGGAACATTAGGAGTCTTAAGTAACTGCTTATTAGGCTCATGCGCTTCCCAAGAACGGCAGTCATCACTGTATTCAGGCTGTAAGTCCTCGATTACTTCTTGGAGTCAGTCTTATCCAGACATTGGGACTGAGAAAGCTTCGTATTAGTGGTCATTGTTCTTCTACTATTCACAGTCAGTTCAGATCGGCCTTGTCTGTATGACTGCGACCTCCTAAGATCTAGCTTGATTTCATAAAGCATTTCATGAACATACAGGCGGATTGCCGTGGTGAATGGCCGAATTCCTACGAGTGGTGACGAGGGTGTCATTACGAAATCTAATATTCTTTGACAATTTTTTCTTAACTCTCTACATAATTTTCTACCGAGCAAATCTTCATCAAGAACAGCACGAGTGGCCAAGTGGCTAAGGCGTCGCACTTGTATCTACCCGCACGGGTCGAAATCGTTATGCGAAGATCGGGGGTTCAATTCCCCTCTTGTGCATTCTTTTTTCTACCTGATATCTTTTTTCCCGGCAAACCTCGTCCATAAATCTCGAATTTTCTTCACTTTTTTTTGTCTTTCGGCTTGTCATCTGGAATAAGGGCGTGAAAAGTTAATGATCTAGATTGTGTTGAATCAGTTAATCTATTTCTCTCTTTTTCCTTACTTTGTGGTAATGTTCAAGTTGAGACGGGGGTTCGCGATCTATATATATTCATCTGAAGTTCTGAGCTCTTCCACGGACCCTGGACTCATCAATGTCGCTGGATCAAGCAGACACAATTGACTGAAATACTTGAATCTCTGCGACATTGGCCATTTCCTATTTGTCGAGCATTTAAGCTAACAAAACCCATTAAAAATCTAGCCACAGGCCGTGCATCTTCGAATCCTCCTGATTTATGCAAAAGTACCAATATCTGGATGGTCTCCTTTGAGAGATAGCAGCAACTCATTCGGACACAGAGCTACACCTCAGATTCGACTTCGAATGTCCTGCCGGAATGTGCTATTCTGCAGAAGGCTGCATGTCCTTGAACGGGGCTCTATCCCACATGGCTCTGATGCTATTAGAATCCGCCACACCGCGTTCAGCGTACTTGGTTAAGAGCTGACGAGGATAAATTTATGAGTGCAGACTGATAGTGTCTAAATCATCATTTGTACTCCGAATGTCCTTCCGCGCAGATGTGGCATACGGAGATCTGCCCTTTCGATTGAGCTTGATGGTTCAACCGGTTCGAGGATACACTGTGATCGGGACGATAGGAGCGCTCATTCTGCAAAAAGGCTCATGAGTCATGGATCAACGCAGCGCTCACAATAAACATAGCTGGAGGCTTAGCTCTCTCAGGAAAAACACAGCAGTGCTTATTCTTTTGGCTACGAATCCAACAGGCCTGGTTCTGACAGCCTGATGATCATGGCACAAGGAGCTTGTGCCATTAGGAGCAGATCCACCTGATGCCGTGGGTGAATTCAAACAACAATGGTCCTAGACAGCGCGTGAAAGAGTTCCACGCATAGGCACTGGGCAGTTATTTGATTCCGTTGCCCTGGTCCCTATCCGTACTGCGACAGGAAATCGTTAGGCTCGAACCTTCGAGCGCCATAACTCGGACCGAATTTTGTCAATTCGCTTGCAGTGAGCACGAAGGTCGAGTTCTCTGATCTTGTTGTCCAACTGGGTTGAGAAAACGCGCTTGTTCTACTTCTGAGATAATGGTTTGCCGAGCATGATGGATGAGAACATGGAACAAATCAGCCCGCTCAAGCAGAGTAAGTTCGTAATCAATTGCAATCAACCAGTCAATTATCAATGAATAATATAGCCGGGAGTTGAGCTTCACCCTGGAAAAACAATGAATCGGACATTTAAGAGCTTCAAGCCACCCAGGAGTACATATTTTTTCCTTCCAATCGGAGGTCTTCACCCCAAGTTATCCCTCCTATCAGAGCTTTTAGATGTGTGCTCTAACCACATGTTCAGTATACATATTGAAAGCCGAGTAGACTAAGGCCTTTAGTGCTCTGGATTTCAACTATTTTTCTGGGGTCATCGACGCGAAACACCTTCAGAAGCATCATCTTTGAGCTTCCCCAATCCCCACAATTGCTCCGCCGGGGTGCTCCCCGGGTAAAGGCAATTTCCACCCCCTCACTCCACAAAATGTTAATCATTAATGCTGGGGATATGGAGCTTGGATTAATTGAGATTTTGGAATTCAATGGAGGGACTCATATATAAGTGTTACCCCCTGTGACCCGCAGACGATCATCTTCTCTTGCTCCGATCTTCTCAAGCAAGTGCCCACCTTTCTTGAGGTTACACACTTGTCAATCGCTATGAAGTTTTCGCATAGCTTTGTCCAGGCAGTGGGCCTGTTACTCTCCTTGAGTTCTTCCGCTGAAGGCTTCACTCGCTCGAGAAACGATGCGTGCAAGCCTAATCACCCATTCCGGCCACTACCTTCCAGCCATCCCCGGACAAAGACATGCCATGTTGCCAGCAAAGGCAATGGTAGTGACGACTCCAAGAACATCTTGCAAGCATTGCATAAATGCAATCACGGTGGCAAGGTTGTCTTTGATGCCGACAAGGTGTACACCGTTGGTACTGCCTTGGACATGACATTCCTTAGAAACGTTGACTTGGGTAAGGATCCCTACTGTCGAGTTTCAATCGAGCATTGCATGCTTATGTGCAAACAGAGGTTCTGGGGAAGATCCAGTTTACAAACGACACCGACTACTGGCAAGCCAACTCCTTCAAGCACGGCTTCCAGAATGCCACGACCTTCTTCCAGCTGGGTGGTGAGGACGTGAACGTCTATGGCGGTGGTACCTTTGACGGCAACGGACAGGTCTGGTACGATCTCTACGCAAAGGATGCGCTCATCCTGCGCCCTATCCTTTTCGGAGTTATTGGACTGAAGGGAGGAACAATCGGGCCTCTGAAGCTCCGCTACTCGCCTCAGTGGTACCAATTTGTCGCCAACTCTTCAGATGTGGTCTTCGACGGTATCGATATCTCCGGATACAGCAGCAGCAAGAACGTTGCTAAGAACACTGACGGATGGTGAGACTGACTGGTTCGGACCAAACATCTCTATTCTGACCATTGCCACAGGGATACTTACCGCTCGAGCAACATTGTCATCCAAAACTCCGTCATCAACAACGGCGATGGTATGTCTTGCTTAAACCCAGCGCTTCGAGTAACAAACTGACCGTATATGCAGATTGCGTGTCCTTCAAGCCCAACAGTACCGACATTCTCGTCCAGAACCTCCACTGCAACGGCTCTCACGGCATCTCCGTCGGCTCTCTTGGTCAGTACCAGGGCGAGGTTGACATTGTGCAGAATGTCCTCGTCTACAACATCTCCATGTTCAACGCATCGGTAGAAACCCCGCACGCTCACCGGAATCACTCATTAGCTGACGATTCTTCTTAGGATGGTGCTCGTATCAAGGTCTGGCCCGGTGTCTCGTCCGCCATGTCTGAGGACCTGCAGGGTGGCGGTGGCCTGGGATCGGTGAAGAACATCACCTACAACCAGATGTACATTGAGAACGTCGACTGGGCTATCGAGGTGACCCAGTGCTACGGACAGAAGAACTTGACCCTGTGCAACCAGTACCCTGTATGGTCCCTCGTTCCCAGCTGCATACTGCTCATGTTCAACTGACCGAAATCTACAGAGTAACCTCACGATCTCAGACATTCACTTCAAAAACTTCCAGGGAACGACATCCGGCAAGTATAACCCCGACGTCGGCACAATCGTTTGTTCCAGCCCGAATGTAAGTTCGACACCGTGTTTTACAAAAGCAGCGGTTCTGATGCTTTTAGGTTTGCTCCAACATCTACGCTGAGAACATCAACGTGAAGAGTCCCAAGGGAACGAATGAATTCGTTTGCACCAATGTAAGTCTTGCATTTAGAGAGGGTACGGGACAAGCTAACACGCGTTTTACTAGGTTGACGAGAGCCTTCTGGATGTCAACTGCACATAGATGCTTCCTCCTGTACGGGAACAATGTACTTATTAGCTCTACTGAATTGAAATTGTGTCTGGTAATAAGGACTATTGGTTATTGCCATTCTCTAGCAGAACTTTCAAACTACAATGACATAAAGAAGTTGCCTGCCCCATTCGGCACGAAGCATGACTCCATCATGTACCATGAAAAGCAAAGAAGCTCAGAGGGCGCAGCTGACAGACACCTCTTCATAATCAGTAGGGCCATCGGGAAAACCCCAATCCCCACGCATAAAGGTGGAGCGCCTACAGTAGTAGTATATGCGGGGTTCGGCATAATTCCGCTGCACAATGGAACTCGAAGACAGATTACAGAGCTTGTACGGGGTATTGGAATAGTATATCAACCAGGACGATAGACAGAAGAAGTTCTGGGCTGTGGAAGTAGCACCCCTCTTACCATGGCGTCAAGAAGAAGCATCATCGTGACCGGTCCGTTCAGCCCACTCCCAGGACTCATTCCCAGAAGACAACAGTATCTACAACTCCAATTCTGACACGCAATAGGAGGCGCATCAGGCATCGGCCTCGGCATCACTCGCTACTTCGCCCCCCAACCAAACACCCATATTACGATCCTCGACATAAACAACGGCACCGCGATCCTCGAGCAGCTACGCACCGAATACCCATCCGCAAGCCTCACCTTCGAGCAATGCGACGTCTCCGCCTGGGAAAGCCAAGCAGCTGCCTTCGACAAGGCATATGCCGAGCAAGGCCACATCGACATCGTCTTCGCCAACGCCGGCATCACGCAGAAGGGCGACCTGCTCGCCAACATCCACGACGCCAAACCCTCGAAACCGGAGCTGAGGACGTTGGATGTTAACCTCATCGGCGTGATATACAGTACACGCTCCCGTGCCCCCACCTTCCCTCTCAAATAAATGCTAACACAGAGTGGTCTGCAGCGGTCAAACTAGCCGCCCACTACATGGCGAAAAACGCCGCAAGAGGATCAGAGTCCTCGCCGAACCTCTCCAAGGGGAGTATCATCTGCACCGCCTCGAACGCAGGAATCTACGCGTTCCCGATTGCGCCGCTCTACGCAGCCACTAAGAGCGGCGTGATCGGACTGGTGCGCTCGCTTGCGCGATCCCTGGAGCAGGAACAGATCCAGATTAATGCGCTGGCGCCGGCTGTTATCGGTGAGTCGGCTTGATCCCTTGGAAGGCCCAGAAGAGGAGCGTGTGGGGGTGTGAGCTGATTGAAGCAGAGACGAATATTGCGCCTGATTCTGCGCTGTTCAGGTCGATGATCCTTACGCCCATGTCGACTGCTACGAGGGCGGTTGCACAGCTTCTTGGTGACTCTTCGTTGACGGGGAGAGTGGCGGAGTTGCACGGGGAGTATGTGACATTTGCGGAGCCGCCGAGGTATGTGGATGAAGATACGGGGACGAATATTGAGATGTTTTGGAAGCTGGGGTATGCGTAGAAGGATGATGGAGTCGTGAAGAAGAGGTTATAGCTATTTTTGCTAAAACCTGTGGGTTGATTTTCAATGGGTGAACCTCAACGCCGCTGGTCATAATTATACATCAATTCATTATCGTAAACCCATCCCGTTACCCACGCCAGATGCCTATATAACACCGGTCTATATGTCATGATTCCATTTATCCCATTCCGTGTCAAGGTCCTATCAAGGACGGAACGAAGTCAATCACTCTCATCCTGGAGCAGCACGTTCAGCTTCTCCAGCTTATCCTCACACTTCACCTCCATCTGCATCACCACATCCACACTCTTTTTCTTCGTGATGAGAAGCTGCGATACAAGCCAGAAGTTGTAGCCGTTTTTGTAGAAGCCCATGGACGCCCACTCGTGGCTGGAGACTGTATTTCGCAGCGCCACCCAGTGGTCGCGCCATCGTGACAGTGCTGTTCGGATCGCGGCTAATGTAGAGTCTTCAGGAATGGCACCTCGAGGGCCTTTTGTGGATGCTGAAGGATCGTGCGACATTTTTGAACTAGGCAATTGTGTTTTGCGTACCAAGGGAGCGAGGAGGGTCATGTGTGTATTTATGAAGGCATAGAGTACTAAGACGGGTCAGTTCGTCGTCATGTAAATGAAGATGTCGTGGGATATACAATGAATGAGGATAAACATATCGAGGACGGTCATATCCGCAATATGATCTGGAACATGGGCTTGCGAGCCACCCTCGTTGGCTGGATTGTCAAACAAATTCTCAAAGGCCTCAGAGATGGAGATATCCCGTGAGAATCGGAAATCCGGCTCCACAAAGGGATGCTGCGAGTCGAAGACTGCCTCTTGGCACGGAAAGTCGCATTCCATTTCTGTGTGCGATAGACGGCAGGGGTAATTTGAATAGAACGAGAAAGCACAGTCGAGGAGTGATATGATGTTCATGGTTCTGCAGGCACTCTGTTAGTCTCCAAACAAAAAGTAGGAATGGCCATAGACATACCGAATACGGCATTCCTTCTGAATCCACGAGTACTCGTCCATTCTATCATGGGACATATGACGGCATTTCAAAAGTCCGATTCGACGAGCGACCTGCCCACTCAAGTTAGTAGCTAGAATTTATGGGATTCGGACGGATCAAACGCACCTTGATGACTTCGCTGAATCTGTTCTCCATTACCCGGTTGCGTGATACACGATTTCCAGCCCAGTACTGCACAACGACAATGATGAAGCCGGCTTGGAAATTCTGGAACTGAACCCAGTCGTTGGGCTCATCGTCCAGACATCGATTCCCACAAAACGTCGAGCTGATCTCGGTCTCGGACGCATAAACCTCGCTGGAGAAAATGAAGAGCTCCGCGAAATCCAGCACTCGTTTCGCAATATATGCTTCCCTCTCGTCATTGGAGTACATGGCGCCCATGAATGTAACGGCCGTGAGTAGTGGTAATGACACAACTTCAGGATCGAAAGACGCGCGATGAAGCATCGCACAGCTCGGTTGCCAGTACTTAAAGTACATTGATACAAATTTGCGGATACGGCCTGTTGTCAGAAGGTAATTGAGATTTGTCGACAACTCCTCTTGTGCCTTTGCATCAAGGGGTACGGACCAGGCCCTTGTGAGAATAGATTGTATCATTGCGGTCGCAAAGGGCCGTTCAGGTTCGTAGCTAAGCTGTTGCCCGGCTAGTGTCAGGTTGGGATCCTGTCCTGGCGGGATGACAGCATGGTAAGCAACCTGCCCCGCGTATGGATCGTCCAGTAGCTTGTGAGGATCGCCAAAGGGGCCGTTGAAGAAATCGATGAAAGTGTCTTGGAAAAAGGTCAGGGTAGCGGCGTCGGACTCGATGAAAGTCGGTGCATAATCTGTCCGGCCATCTTTCAACTCATACCCGAGAATGGAACTCTCCGCTTCTTCGAGACTTTTCTTGTTGTGATATTCGAGGCTGCGTGTTCGATCGCTGCGCGGAGGAAGGAGGAATTGCTGCGTGAAACTATCGGTACCGCCATTGAGAAGGAACTTGATCGATCCACGATCCGACGATTGTTCGTAGTCTTCGCGCTTTGCTGTCAAGCGGTCTACCCGGTTGGACAAGAGTCAACGACCGCGACGTCCGAATGCAGAGACAGACCATACCTGAATCATTTGCTTGGTTCAAGGCTTGCTTTTTCCGCTCGTTGTTGCATTCGATGCCTCGTTTCTGACAAGAGCCGCAGGGATTCAATCCGTCGCACCGCAGTTTCATCGACGTGCACTAAGGGCAAAGGGCTGATTAGCGGCCATTCATGCAACTCACAGCAATGTCGAATTACCGATTGGCAAGCATGTCGTCTTCTCCCTCGCTGTCCCGTATCGGGGATCTGCCGACCACCCCTTTTAGGACAATCGGAGTAGTGATCACGAAGGTTGTCACTGCAGCATCATCAAGGGAACATGTCAGCGTCGAAACCTGGGGAGCTGAACGGCAAGAGATAGGTGCCAAGCGGCGAGCGCAATTGGCAGATAGTCGAACACAATCAAGGATCACAAAAAGCACAGCGTACCAACGAGCAAACGAGTCATTGCAAAAGATACAAGAGTAAGGTTTAATTCCGGAATCTGGGAAGTTATTCCACCGAGTCAGTAAATCTGAGTTGAGGCCGTAAGTTTGATAGCGAGATTCCGGCGACCGGAGCAGCAAGGGAGAGCTGAACGGAGAGGCAAAACCACATACGGCGAAGATGATGCCTTTTCAGATGATCAATGCGCGTAAAACCTCGCTGACAGATGGTGCAGCGAAAATGTTTGTCGGAATCAGGCTTCATCATGGAGAAGTGTTGGCGCGCATCGGGGAGAAGCTCAAGGGATGGGGAGGAAGTCTGGGGTAAAGGGAGAGGGGAGGGAAATTTAGAGGGGGGAAGAAGGAGTGGAGCACAATTATGGACTGCAGAGTACAGAGTCACGATGCGCTGATTCCTCTACTGCACTGAACTAAGGTAGGACTAGTAGTAGGAATCCAAAATGTTCTTAATGAAAATTATCTGCAGCAATAGGGACATTTTAACAAAGATGCTCAATTTCCAGACCTCAATTCCTCGCAAAGAAAGTGAAAGTTTGTCGCCGGCCAAGTAGCATATTAGAGTTTGGACCTACCATGACAATCTGCAATCGTGATTCTGTGGTAGGGCAAAATGTACTGTAGACTCAGTGATATGTCTAGGGTTGATTGATATTATCAACTGCTATTGTCTTTATAGTGACGCTCATACGCTCATCCTGCTCTCCCCGGACCCAACCGAAGAGCTCTCCATCTCAGCAATTCTATAGACCAAGATGGACCTAGTAGATGATCATCTCTATTCCGTACTCTGTAATCAGCTGTTATATCCGGTATGAACCATTGGAGGGGATCAAGATGCGGAAATTATGAAATACCCGGGTATAGCCATAAGTAATATCATGACAATACAGAAGACAGTGCTAAATTCCCCGCGAACCTGATCGAATCACCAAAGACTAGGCTCAAAAAGGCCCGAGTCCCCACTTCGGAATCCGGCAATTGTCTTTCCCAGGGGTTTCTCCTCACTTTTTGGTACACCGGATGCCTTTTTAAGCTTGGTGCAAACACTATTGGTCTGAGGGCCTTTTTGCTTCCACACCGAGACGACTATCTACTGTACAAGTTAGGGACGATAGGATATTTGGTAGCATGAAAGAAAGTTATCAGAGATCCCGGAAAGGAGGTTGAAGATGAGGATAAGACAACACAAACTTCAGGCAGAGCTGGATCGGGGTCATCTCTTGAAGGAGGATGAAACAGCCCTAGCTGGGAAGCTCCTGCATATCGTCCTGGGTAAGTGCGTGAATCTAGTACGTCAATACCGCGTGGGTTTATTCTCGGGTGATAATTTTGACGGTGCATGGCTGGATGGTCATCCTGATGAGATCGGGCCAGTTTGTCTCCCCGGAGGCATGATGAGCGAAGAGGAATTTCTACCAGTTAGAGGTGAGACATTGACCTCTTGAGTCTTGACTGCGCGTGATATAGGGAGGTATCTCATTATTATGTACCACACCTTCATGTGCTCCGACGACGACGTCAAGAACGAAGGATCGTGGTCATCCTGATTTCTGTCTCAGTGAACAAGCGGCGATGCATCCCCGATGAGCATCATCTTTGAAGCTTCTACGTTCGTTGGCAATTTCACTGATCTTTAATGATAGCGGTTATATGGCATTCTCGCATAGAATCTATCAAGCAAGCAGATCCAATGTCACAAGCTGAGAAGTGGACTGGCAGGATGACCATGCTCGTTCCTGGGACCTTCAAATCCCTCATTGATCGGATACGGCAACGACAGTTGTTGGAAAATCAACTTCGTCATCGTTCAGATAATCCACGTTGATCTCCTTCAGTTTTTCGTTCTCTGTCCAGCCATCTCCAAGCCAGCCGTTCGGATTGTCATTGACATAGTCGTAGGTGTAATCCTCCCAACGGGGATATGCAAGAGCTTTCATTGAATGAAGCGAGGAACCTGTGGCTTGTTAGTGATGCGAAAATACGGCAGTTGTTCACCTCCAGAGAGCTTACCGGGCCATAACGCAGTTACTCTGCCATCCTCAGTCCCTCCCTTGTACCAGCTGCGGCATTTCTCGCTGAACACCGTTCTTGAGAAGTACTGGTCACAGTGGCGAGTAAACATCTCTACGGCTTCTTTTTTCACGCTCATCGCTCGGATGTTATCACGCTGCATCTTCTGCACGCAGAGCGTGAAGTAATCAATCTCCTTCTCAATCAGAAGCAACAGATTGCCCTCGCCTAGTGCCGCGTTTGGCCCCAAGCAGACAAAATAGTTTGGGAATCCATCAACGGCAAAGGAAAGATAGGTCTCTGGTGTCTTTCGCCAGCGGTCGGCTAGGGTGACACCGTTGCGTCCGATGATTGGAAATCTGGGCGTGAATGTGGTATCGAATCCAGTTGCGCAGACAAGGACATCCGTGGGATGATGTTGTCCGTC